GGGGCGGGGGACATCACCCCAAGTCCAGTTGAACGAGTTGTTGGCCTGCCGGCGTCGGTGGACCCAAGGCCGGGGTGGGCAGGGGGCGCAGCTCCCAGACAGCGGGGCCCGGCTCCTTTCCCTCCGAAGTTGAGACTCCTCCGGGCCGACCCGGAGCAGAACCCGGGGGGAGGGGTGGCAAGGCTGGGCCGGAGTCTCCCGCAGTCTAGGAGGTTGGCTGGAGGCAGAAACTGCTGTTCTTGGCCACTCCGAGCCCTACTCCGCCTGGGGGAAGGCTGGGAACTCACCTGCTTGCTTTTATTTTTGCGAGAAGGTCTGTGTTGTCTCCTTAAGCTTATGAAAACAGAGCAAGCCCAGGGTGGCCTCCTCTGAAAGTCAAGGCTAGAAGAATCTCCTCTCCCCCTCCCGTGCCCTCTCTTAAAAAAAAAAAAAATCATTTCCTCTCCTAAACTAGGCAGGCATACGTCTGTTAGAGTGCGCATGGGCAGGGCCTGACAGGTGTGTTGTGTCAAGAAAGACAGGTGTAAATTTCCTCCTGTCTGCATGTGTCAGCACCGTCCCAGACCACACGGCTTACTGGAGGGCTGCAGAGGTTTATGAATGTATGGTTGTCCTGGCTAACAAGGGCTCTAGGCTGGGAGGTTGGGGCTGCTGTTGTGTTTTGAGCCCCCATGCGAGTTCTTTGGGAGGGGCTGGGGGCTCCAGTTGGAATGTATTTGTTTATTTTTCTTAAGGGTGTTTGTAGGCCCCTGCTGAGGCTGTGTCTGGGCTTGGAAAGCCAAGAGCACCCTTACTTCAAGCAGCAGGTGGAGGGAGATGGACTTTCCTTTTGGTTCTCTCCAGTTTATGCCTATCTCCTAGGTCTGTGCTTGGGGGGGGATCCTTTGTGTGTGTGAGAGTGTGTGTGTGTGTGTGTGTTGGACAGCCATGGTGGTGTGTAACTGCCAAAAATATCAAAGTGAGTCTGAAAGTGTTACTGGTATTAAAGCTTATCTTTTAGCGTGCTCACTCCTCTCTGCCTGGAAAGAATAGGTATGTGTGTGAACTCTTTCAAGTTACATGTTAAATAATCTCCTAAAATAAGAATGTGCCTGACATTGTACCAGACATGTGCCAGATGTCCTAGATGGACTTTGATGGAGAAGGGAAATCTTCAGCACATGAGAGCTCAACGTGCTTTTCTGTTTGCCGCAAGATTTGGGCATCAGCCTATGAAGAGTTTCTTGCACTTCTGGGTATTTTTGAAATGTGTTTGGTGAAGAAGCAAAAGGGAGCATATTGGGGTTAGCCTGTGCATGGGCAGACTTATAAAAGGGTAAAGCAAAGGAAGCTAAGGACTGCGGCTCGATGTGCGGGCAAGGATGTTAAGAAATCAGTGTCGACTCTCTGTGGATTCTTAAAACTTAATCTTTAAAATTTTTTCTTTACCAGGCTACTTCTTAAAATTAAGCTGCATAGTGAATAGGTTAGGTGATAAGTGGTTTTTGTTGGTAGGTTTTGCTGTTTGGGTGGTTATCACTGTTTCCGAGAAAATGCAATGGTGTGTGTCATTTATTCCTTCAACTCAAACGTCAACACCCCCATATTTTCCTTGGGTGCTTTTGAAGTTCTTTGGTGATAAAAATGACCTCTGTGGCTATGTTCATTTACTTTGTTTCTAATCCGGGTGATCTGTGCTTGGCACTTATTGATATTTGTATGCGTCCATTATGCAGAATTCTATTTAGTTTAATCACCAAGTTGTGGGAACAATGTCACGCATCTTTGTCCTCATTTTCCTCCCTCGCTGGCGTGGCTCTCCCCTGAGCAGCACATGCAATCTTAGAACCTCGGCTAACTTATTCTATAAGTTGCCAGATTTCCTCTTCATCTGTTCAAAACTCAAAAAGGCCTTTTTTTTTTAACCAACTTTCTGGAGCATTTCAGGGATTGTCTCAAATTTGCAATATTAATCTGGAGATTTTTTCACATTTTGAATTTTAAAAAGAAATTATAAAATATTAGCGGTGCGACAATGTAAAATAAATACATTATGCATGAGGTACTATTATAGAATTCTAATGAAATCTTTTGAATAAATCGGAAGGAACAGATATAAAGGACATGTAAGGAAGGAAAATATAATTCTCAACTCTTACTGCCTAATGTATTCAGAGCTTCACAGGGCTCTTGGACTATTCCAAATTTTGCAAAAAAAGAAAAAAAGTATAAGTGCATTTTCTTAAGATGACTTCTTACACTTCTATTTACCCGGTTTGATGAATTATTACTTCTAGATAAGTGGAAATCAATATTGTAGGCATGTCTCAATGTTATGCACTCGTTGTACAGAAGAAAAATATGTGGAATTTTGAATAGGATGGAAGAATCATAAATGAAATGGTTACGATTTACAAACTCTGTCATGATAGGAAATTTGAAAACCTGCCTATATAATCTTAGTCACTTGAAGTATTCACTTATGTCAGTTGGGTTCTTCACATAAATATTAAAGGCTTCTTAACCTGGTAGTAAGCAGAAATATCTCTAAAGGAAAAGTGCTGATTAGCATAAATGAACTCTTGAACCCAGAGAAGGGAGGACAGCTTAGTGACTTGGCGGGGTACCTGCATCAAGTCATCTGATTTTTCCCTCTTGAATTACTGAGTTTTCAGATTGCTTTATAACAACACTCCCTGTTCATAAAATATCCCTTAAAATGTCATAGTCAGGTGAACCCCAAGAAGTAGATTCGAGGCCCTTTTCAAGATGACATTCTAAAAGATGTAATAAGTAAGTAAATTCTTCAAAGAATTTTATCAGCAAAGACAGATAAGCTAAATGCTTCAAGCAGGAAACCAAACCAATCTTACACTCTCAGTGTCTCATGAAAGATTTGTCTGAACTATTGGGATAATTACCATAATGAAACACTTCTTTGTCAGGATCTGGACAGATAGATGTGCAGTAGAAGTTGCATCTCCTTCCCCCAAATAACTTCTTCATTACAGTGCAGCCCATGCTGCAATGTTCCTGTGAAATTCTTTACTGAAAACTCCCCCCCCACCTCCCCAAAAATGCTTTTCTGCTAACACTGTATCCTTAGGGTTCTCTGTGGTAAAGAGAATGTCAGATAATTAGGATTTTAGTGAATCTTTGATGGTAGTTACAGATCTGACTTGATTATATCTTAGTGTTTGCTCGTGTAGTATCTTTTTCTGAGAGGAATTGCTATGCTAAGGTATCTATTGTGTAGCAGTTATTAAAGCATTTGTGTGGATTTAGATGCCAACTGGTGCAACAAAATATCAATCGAAAATCACAGGTAGATTTTTACATTAATTAAAGAGGAGTGTATGTATTTTTACAAATAAAGTGTCTGTATTTGCTCAATAAGAATTTCAGTTCAATTTCAAGAAGACAGTGTTTTTACTGTCTTGTTGCTGATATTAATATTCACCATTTTGATATGCTGACCAGAAAGCTTCATGTCACTTGGCTACATCCATAATTAATGTTAAAATGACAATATTATAAGAATAATAGGAACTGTTGTGACAACATTAAGGTTTAACATATATGTGGAGATGTGCAGGAATTTTTGAAAATCTTAATGGGCACGAAGGACCATGTAAATGATAGAGTCATGACATAACAGCCTTTAGATTCTGAATCAGGAGACCACAGAAACACTTGGGAAATGTTTTTTTAAGTGATCTGATTTATGTTATGATTGTTTGATGATGCCTTTTGTTATAGGGTCAATCTACTCATATGTCTATGGTGTCCATGCGATGTGTTGCTAGTGAAGGACCATGTGAAGGACCTTAGCTCTGGCCTTTCTACATCTCAGTGTGAGCCAGTACGCTAAACCTTGTCTCTAACTTTAGGGCTAAGCTATAGGGAGAGCTATTGTCATTTGTGCCACATACTACAGTGCCTTATCATGCTGGACTATGTGATTGTTGCTTTTTTCCCCCAGTTGTCCTGCTCTATTTGTTATGGCTCAGCTGGACATTGTATAATAACACCGAAAATTATTTAAATTCTCTTAGCCCCAAACAGAAAGTATTATTTAATTTACAAATGCTAACTGCTTGAAAGACAATTGTGACAAATCAGTTTAGTCTAATGAATCTGGAGGAAGTTACAGGGTGTCTTCATAGACTCAGCAGACACATTTAGTTAGCACTTACTCTCCACTGAAGATGAAAGCATCGTGTCTTTTCCCCTTTGGAAGAGCCAAGCCCTCTTCTTGGCTCCAGCAAGAGGTGGGGATGCAGCTTGATACCTAGGCTAAAGGAGAGGAACTGCAGTTCATGCAGAGGTACAGGGCAGGTGGGAAAGGAAGGATATCCGGGATGACCTTGTGCTCATCAAGGGCACCAGGGTGTCCTTTTGGGGCCTCTGCTATGACTTCCCAAGGCAAGATGGGCAGGAGCAAAACCCAGCTTGTGTGTTAAGTGGAACAGGGGGAAATACTGCAGGAAGTTTGCTCAACATTTTGATTAGTGACCTGCATGCTTTGCTGGTGATATTAAAGAGAAAAATATTCGTACACAAAAAGGAAAGAGGTGATGTTTTTAAACTATAAGCTGTATTTTTGGAACGAATGAGTCTTGTCGTGCCCCCCCCTATATCTAAGTGTTCCTGAAACTAACAGATCTTTAAACTAATTCCATGTTTTTCTTCTTCATCTCACCTGACAGCTACCCCTGATTTATCAGATCTAATGTGTCAATGAAATATTTGTCACTTCCCTTTTGTATTCCTGAAACCAATTTTATGAGTAGTATGTGAAGAGCCTCAATCATTCTGAATCCAAATTTGAGCCTGATATCAAAGTTATAGAGATCTCTATTTCCATCCAAAGTTCAGGATAGTTTATTGTAAAGCACACAGGAAGTATTTCATCCTTAAGTTCACAAAACTATATAGAAAGAATTATCACCTTGCTTTCATGATACTCTAAAACAGGCTCTTTTAAAATTGTATTTTCATACAGACACCAAGATCAAATACTGCATGATGAAACCTCAGCCAGGGTAAAAAAATACATATTGCTGCCATGTAAGCACTGAGCATTTTCTTGATTTTTACAGGTTATTTCATGCTAAAATTATGCCTATTTGCATGGATAGTCATTCTTTAAAACTAGCCACAGATGCAGTCCTGGGGAGCACGTAGATGTTTTTACAGGTGAACCGAAAGAGATGGGAGCCGTTCCAAATACTCTGCACGCTGCCTTTGGCAATGGAGCCTGTTATTGTGAAGATGTGCTCTGTTAAGCGAACGTGAAGTTCAATATCAGATAAACCTAGCATGAAAAAAATTTTTTTCTTTTCTTCATAAAATGTTAATTGTAAACAAAAAGATGTGACATCTTACATGGACACAAAATTTGTGATCAGTGTTGCTTGTTAATAAGTCACACGATATATCAAAAAGGATATAAAGGCAGGCAAGGATGTTCCTTTTTTGTAGTCTATCCCCAAGAATCAAAGAAAGTATTTCCCTTCCTCACATATTTGATTTACTCTTTTTTTTTTATTTCTATGTCTTTCAACTGGCTTTTTTTGTTTTTTGTTTCTTCCTTCCTTTTCCTTACCAGGCGCAATAAGATGCACAAAGGATGAATGTTAAAGGGCTTCTTTTGGCATTTGGAGAACTATTTTGGCAGATTTTTACACAAGAAAACTAGTCCGGAAGATGTATTTATCCTTGCCTCGTCCAATAATAATTTATTATACTACATACTGATTTCTAAAAGGTGACAATGGCTTTCTTTCGCAGTGAATCCAGTTTTCTAATAATCAAGGACATCAAAAGAGCAATATGAAAATTTGAAATATGCTCATAGTGACATTTAGATATAACAACAGATACCAGCATCACATATGACTTTGATAATGAAAATGTGTAACTTTGCTAAATGAACAGTCTTGTAAAACTGAGTATTCAGGCACTGATTTCAATGCTAAATTGATCGTTTATGTTTGAAAGATGCTGGATGGGGTGTCTTTCCCATTCCACCTGTGACAAAAATATTTTAAAATTCAGTAATGCATATGTGCATTTACCTCAGAGTCTATCCCTTTAGTAGCAGTCAAACCACAACCATTTTAATGGAGAAATGGAATTTATCATCCAAATTTCACACAGCCTCAAAATTTAACCTTATTTCTTAAGTATAGACCACTTTCATCTTCTTTTATAATATGAATCTCAAAGCCCAAAATTTAATCAATTGGTTGTCAGAGGCTGTGTTCTTATAATCTACTGTTTCTTCTGAAGATAAACAGTATCATTTTAGGCATTTGTGAGAGAGAATCATATTACTGGTGCTTAAGCAGTTTTTGCTTTTTTTAAAAAATCTTAATCCATCTTAAACCAGTGGAGCAGAAATATTTAAAAATGTTTCATTTCAAGCAGAGTGCATAATAAATTGCAATAATTGTAATGTGCCATAAATCCCAGAGCCTATGCATTTTGCATTTGATTCAGGATTGAGGTCAGGAAATTTGGAGAAATTTAAAGAAAATGATTCATCAGTCCTTTTGTTCTGTTGGCCAGGGTCCCGGGATTCTTGAGCTGTGCCCAGCTGACGAGCTTTTGAAGATGGCACAATAACCGTCCAGTGATGCCTGACCATGACAGCACAGCCCTCTTAAGCCGGCAAACCAAGAGAAGAAGAGTTGACATTGGCGTGAAAAGGACGGTAGGGACAGCATCTGCATTTTTTGCTAAGGCAAGAGCAACGTTTTTTAGTGCCATGAATCCCCAAGGTTCCGAGCAGGATGTTGAGTATTCAGTGGTACAGCACGCAGATGGGGAAAAGTCAAATGTACTCCGCAAGCTGCTGAAGAGGGCGAACTCGTACGAAGATGCTATGATGCCTTTTCCAGGAGCAACCATAATTTCCCAGCTGTTGAAAAATAACATGAACAAAAATGGTGGCACGGAGCCCAGTTTCCAAGCCAGCGGCCTCTCCAGTACGGGCTCCGAAGTACATCAGGAGGATATATGCAGCAACTCTTCAAGAGACAGCCCCCCAGAGTGTCTTTCCCCTTTTGGCAGGCCTACTATGAGCCAGTTTGATATGGATCGCTTATGTGATGAGCACCTGAGAGCGAAGCGTGCCCGGGTGGAGAATATAATTCGGGGTATGAGCCATTCCCCCAGTGTGGCATTAAGGGGCAATGAAAATGAAAGAGAGATGGCCCCGCAGTCTGTGAGTCCCCGAGAAAGTTACCGAGAAAACAAACGCAAGCAAAAGCTGCCCCAGCAGCAGCAGCAGAGTTTCCAGCAGCTGGTTTCAGCCCGCAAAGAACAGAAGCGAGAGGAGCGCCGACAGCTGAAACAGCAGCTGGAGGACATGCAGAAGCAGCTGCGGCAGCTGCAGGAGAAGTTCTACCAGATCTACGACAGCACCGATTCTGAAAATGACGAAGATGGAAACCTGTCCGAAGACAGCATGCGCTCGGAGATCCTGGAGGCGCGGGCCCAGGACTCTGTGGGGAGGTCAGACAGCGAGATGTGCGAGCTGGACCCCGGACAGTTCATCGACCGGGCGCGGGCCCTGATCAGAGAGCAGGAGATGGCAGAAAACAAGCCCAAGCGAGAGGGCAGCAACAAAGAGAGAGACCACGGGCCAAACTCCTTGCAACCGGAAGGCAAGCACTTGGCCGAGACCTTGAAACAGGAGCTCAACACTGCCATGTCGCAGGTCGTGGACACCGTGGTCAAAGTCTTCTCGGCCAAGCCCTCCCGCCAGGTTCCTCAGGTCTTCCCCCCTCTCCAGATCCCCCAGGCCAGGTTTGCAGTCAATGGGGACAACCACAATTTCCACACCGCCAACCAGCGCCTGCAGTGCTTTGGCGACGTCATCATTCCAAACCCCCTGGACACCTTTGGCAACGTGCAGATGCCCAGTTCCGCAGACCAGACGGAAGCACTGCCCCTGGTGGTCCGCAAAAACTCCTCTGACCAGTCTGCCTCCGGGCCGGCCGCGGGCGGCCACCACCAGCCCCTGCACCAGTCTCCGCTCTCGGCCACCGCGGGCTTCACCACCTCCACCTTCCGCCACCCCTTCCCGCTCCCCTTGATGGCCTACCCGTTTCAGAGTCCCTTAGGTGCTCCCTCTGGCTCCTTCTCGGGAAAAGACAGAGCCTCTCCCGAATCCTTAGACTTAACTAGGGACACGACGAGCCTGAGGACCAAGATGTCATCTCACCACCTGAGCCACCACGCTTGCTCACCAGCACACCCACCCAGCACGGCCGAAGGGCTCTCCCTGTCACTCATAAAGTCCGAGTGTGGCGATCTTCAGGACATGTCCGAAATCTCACCCTATTCGGGAAGTGCAATATCCTTTTGTCTTCCTTTCAGGGAAGGAACAAAAGAAAGCGCAGCAAAAGGGCTGCCCAAGAGGCCAGCTCTGAACGGTGTGTAGGATGAGGGCGATCAGTGGCAAGAATGAAATCTTCCCTGTTGTCCAGACAGACAGGCTCTTAGCAGTGTGCAGGTGGCCCTTCTGCTCACAAGAAAGTTTGGGCCTAAACCATACTCCGCCACTTTCTCAAGTTGTTGATTGCTTCCAGGAGCTGGTATCTGATGCATTTTCCCAGCAGTGTGGTTTTTTTCTTCTGCTCTTCCTGTATTCATTTTCATTCTCTCTCCCTCTCTTTCCCTCCCCTCCCCTCTTTCTTCCTCTCTGTAGATGCAGAGATGGCAAAAGAAAATCTCACTGTGCACACTGAATTCTCTCAGACACTTCATAAAGACAGCATATCTTGTTATGGAGTAAGAACAGTGTTCAGATCTGTAAGAGTCCACTAAGGAAATCGTCACCCCTCAGCTTACCATGCATCCCAAGTCTCCCTGTCCCCATAATGAGGCCCGATTAGATCTCAGGAAGGGCACTTTCTTAATGGGAAGCTGCTAAGCTGTTGCAGTGGGAGAAAGGCAGATATGGGTGGGAGTTAGAGTCTTTCTTTAATTTCTAAGTTAGACTTTTTTCTTTAAGGAAATACACAGGTACTGATGTATTCACAGGGCATCAGCCTCTCTCGCTCACCCAAAGTCTGTTCTTTGGGCCTGGTGCAGCTGCTTCTATGCATGATTAACCTCTGCTCAGCCATACACAGAAATCTTTTGTCCTAACACACACAAAGCAAATTATTTTGGAAAGCAAAGGAGCACAATTAAATATAAAACTCAGCGCTATTCGACTTAAAAATGGCTCTTTTTCTGACTTCTTTAAATTCTGATCCTGATCTTCACGTGGAGATGCTGATTCTATTTTTTAGTAGACATACCCTGAACTCCCGATATTTTTAACTGATTTATTTTTCTCTGTAAATCAGTCTTTTCCTTAAATTTTTAAAAACTCTTGCAATGATTGGTCATTTGGGGTAGTAGAATAGTAACATTTGGGGGCAGGTGGAGGCATGTTTCTTATATAATAAATTACCAGATGGATGTAAAATTTAGCAGTTAAGTTGGCTGTTACTAAATCGAGGATTTTGAGCAATCATCTTGATGACTAGAGACTGACATTTTAGTATTTGAGCCCACTCCAGAGGCTGCCACGTAAGTGTGAAGTCCCAGCTATGGCAGAGATATGTTGTCCTGCGTCACCTTCCCTGCCAGCTCTCGGGAAAGCAGGGAAGCCTTTCAGTGAGGTGGACTGAGCCACAGGTATGAGACCCCTGGGCACTTAAACATGGAGTCACTTTCCTTGCTGAGGAAGAAGAGAAGTCAGTCAAGGGAGAAAGGGAAGAGAAAGATGCTGAGGTCTTCGGTCTGAGTCTTGGCTCAGTTGCTGATTTAACTTCAACCTTTCAGAGATGTAAAGATCAGTGCACCAGTCATAAAGCTGCACTACACCAAACACTGTGCCTTAAAAATATTATAAACAGGCAAAAAACAAAAACATTCAGTCCAGATGATGGGAAAAGAGCTGGTGGTGATCAGAGAGGCCGGGTAAGACACAAGGAGGGGTGAATGGGCTTTCACTCTTCACAAGAAGAGCATCTTTCAAAATTCATGTCAGGCTGATGTCTAGTGCTAGACCCTGCTGGGCCTCAGAGATCCTTGAATTTCATTCTGAAACAAGTAGGAGAGTAGTAGTGATGGTAGCCTCTCCTGTCGGGCAGAGAGAGAGAGAGACAGAGACAGAAACAAGACAAAGTTGAAAGCCAGGTTTCACAGTTCTAAAACTCTTGCTCCTGATCTAGTTTATATTCTTTAACTTAGACTTATCATTAGTACCAGACTATTCTATTCATGCCTTTCTATTTTTTTTTTTAAGTTAGTTTGGTCTTCTAGGGGGAAAAAAACCAATCTTTTACATCGCATTAAGTGTCAGCCATGAACACATTATCTTGCTTGCCCTGTCTTTCTAAATCCCAGAGGAACTCTGAAGATTTGAATGGAGAGAAGTTCCTTCTATTTCTATAGGTATCAAAGGCTGTAAAGAAAATATACTTCTCCTGCTGAGAAATAACTTCTCCTGTGCCCTACTGATAAGATCCTGTTGAGCAGTGATGGTGGTAAACACCCATTCTTGTATGAAAAGTTGGTTGCCAACACCTGGAGGGTCTTTCCTTCGTGTGGGTGGATGCTTGAGCCTCTTGCTGCAATTAATGACTGTATTTTTTGCTTTCTGACCTTCTAACCTCTGCTGCTTTCTCCTCCTCTTCTACTACATTGTACTTTTAACCATTCAGGTCATGGATGGAGAGATATAGATAGATAGCTAGATAGCTAGATAGCTAGATAGCTAGATAGGTAGGTAGGTAGATAGATAGATAGATATAGATAGATAGATAGATAGATAGATAGATAGATAGATAGATAGATAGATTTTTCCAAGGAAGAAGAGGATAGGCAAGTGACATTTTCTATAGACCCACAATTCTGAAGCGGCTGAGAATCCAAGTATTTGTTGGCAGATTGGATCGGATCCACTGGGCTCCTGTTGCTATCTCTGTATGGCCATGAGTTCTTCCTTTGATTTAACTAAAAGGGTATATATCCCAATATTCTGCCCAATTATTTGGATGAATATTTACAGATAGATTTCTCAAGCTTGGTTTGAAGAAATCTGTGGACATCACAGTGAGTGATGTTTTACTCCATCTTTGGGGATACAGGGCCATATCTGAACCTGTTGTACAGTGATCCTTAGAAAAGAGCAATAGAAGTGAATTGAAATGGTATCACTGTGATTGCCTGTGGTACATTTCTATTTTTAGGTCATGGTTTTCCAGATTGCTAAATAATTTAATTGCTAAGGAATGATTCTTCATCCAAAGGGCATCATCTGATTTTTTAATTTTTTTTTACAAACTGACCAAGATAAGAACACTTTGGTACATCAGCTTGTCAAACCAGCCCATCGTAGATGGAGCACACCAAACATACCAGTGCTAGACAAGAGCAAACTCTGGAGAAGGAAGGAACCCTGGATGTGTGCACGTTAGATCTGGATGTCAGTGCACCTGGCCAAAGAGCTCACATCTTGAATATAAAACAAAAAATGTGTTCCAATGTCTTTGCAAATGAATCTCTTTAACCAAATACTAAGTTTTATTCAAATTCCACAAGAAACAGACAGCCAATTGCTTTTCTTCGTAATGCTCCTTGCCACTCATCCTTTTTGCATCTCAAGAAAAATAGCCCTGTCCGGGCCTCAGACATTTGCATACACCCAGTTAAAGCACAAGAGCGGTATTATAAGCCATTAAGATGTGCAGGTGAAGAAACTGAGCCTGTTCCCCATGACAGTCTGCTTTTCCTACTCCACCCTTAGGACGAAGGTTGAAAATACTCCAAGATTAGACAGGAGAGTTTTTATCCAACCCCCAAAACGTGGCTTAGAAAAACGTGGAACAGTCTGCAGGAGTTGATCTTTTGCATTTTTAGGAGTCTTATGGGTCAGTCCTGGTTATTTGTGATCGTGAAGAGTGTAGATTAGTGACTCCTAGCCACCTGAAACTCCAGAAAAAAAATATAAAGTAGACTCTTTTTTAAAGAAAGATGTCTATATGCCCCATATGCCACTGATGATGGTCCTGAGCTTGGTGGAACCACAACCCACTTTGTCCCTGCCATTTGGTGAGAGAGTTCAGAGCTTGCTTCCCATCGGAGGTTGTCAGAGAAAGCCCTTAGAAAGAGTTAGTCCAAGAATAAGGAGAAAACCGAAATTCTGTAGGTTTCAACTGCTTTGGAAAATGTAAGTGGACCCAATGCATTTGCTGGAAACTGCTGTGCTGCCTACCCAGCCACTGTGCAGATTTCTCTCGGGGGGGAAAAAAAAAAAAAGAATTTTCCTTTCCAGCCTTCACAGCCTATTATTCTCCCATTTGCCTTTTTGCTGCTTCGGCCCCCCTCTGGCTGCTGCTGTTTAGGTAAGGTTATATTGTGCTTGGTAAACACACAGCACTTAGATTCTCAGGTTGTTTGGACCCCACTGTAGGATCAGCTGCACTAGCCTGCTTCTCTGATCTTTTATATTCTCGAGCAGATGTCTTTCATTAATTTATGGATTTATCATCTTTTCTTTTTTTTTCTTTTTTTCTTTTTCTTTTTTTACACCTGGCAGCTGTCTCAAGTTTCAGCAGTTATTGTCTATTTTGCATTACACATAGAATTGAATGTCATCTGTCTTCACAAAGCTATGGCTAAGAGAATTGAAGCAAAGCCACACGAGCTGAGCTGCCGGGACAGATCTTGTTTGCGTCCCATCCCCCTCCCCCACCCCCCTTACCTCCTTAATATTTATTTGTGCTCATTTTCTTTCCTGGCCTTGAATGGAGCTTAGCTCGTGTTCAGTACAGCTGTATGTTTACTGAATCTCTTCCATCGTGAGTCATTGTGCGTGTGTAAGTATCCAGGAAACAGCTAGTGCTTTCTTGGAAGAACAGTTGCTTTTCAGCACAAGCACTTAAAAGGGAAATTAACCCATTGGTCAGTTCAGATTTATTTTGAGGAGAAAAAAAGAGGATTATCTAACTGTTAGCTTCTAAATGTTTCATTAGCTATTTTTAATGGTTTATTAGAAACATATATTTTATGGGAATTTTATCTTAATGACACAATGAACAAGAGATAAAGATTTATTCTGTGTTCCATGTTAATTGATCAGTCCCAAGTACTGCCAACAGGAAGCATTTGGAAGCAAAAAACGAACTTGAGAAATCCAAATCAGAATCATTTTTTTCCCATTAAGTAAAAAGACTAAATCCCAATCAAAACATAATGAAAAAATTTAATAAAAAGAACTAAAACGTCTTAGCACAGTTTAGAAGGAAGGAAAAGCATGAGGAAGTTTTGGTAGCTCTGTGCCTGTCTGAGAAACGCAGCAAAACAGTTTGTATTTAGTATGAGACTGAAGTTTGAAAGGTTTGGGACTTAGAATAAATTAAACGGATGAGGTCACTTTCATGGATTGGTCTGAAAGAAAAGATTAGAACCCAGATCTGAGAATATGTGTGGAAGTTTGGACTTGTCTAAAACTCTTATCGCAAGGCAAGAGGACACAGCTTGCGACCATTATTCCACTTATCCATTTGGACAGATGGTCCTGAAGAGTGCTGGGCTCCTTTCGTCTTCTCTATCAGTCTAATGGAGGTGACTGGAGGGCCTTTCAGCCCTTTCCTTGGCACAAGAAGTATGTCAGTCATAAATTACCATCTTTGTAATCATTAAGGACCTCAAACAAAAACACAAGTTCAGTTAAGCTGCTTTGGCTTACAGATAGAAAAATCAAACTTTCTTTCTTCGGTGTTTATTTTCATTTCACACACACACACACACACACACATACACACACACACAACCACAATACTTAGCTCGTCTATTTGCACACCAAGTTGATCTTTGCTTAATGCCATGGGAATAAGAAGGAAATGTTAATTGGACAAATTCACAGAAGAATATTTGGTTAAACACTGTTATAAGGAGTGAAAAGTTATCAATATTAATTTGATTATGAACCTAATACCTTTCTTGTTTTCCTCTATTATTACCATCAGTCATGCTGAACTTGAAAAAAATCACTAGGAAAGCTTTCTCTTTCCTAAATGTGTTTATCTGATTTTTCTTCATAAGATGTGTCATTTCTGTTGGTTGGTTAAAGTGTATTATCTGTGTGTGTGTGTGTGTGTGTGTGTGTGCATATTTTCTTTTCTTTTTCTCCTTATTTTTCCCAGACTATCCTTGAAGAGAGAATCCTTAGAGAAGCTTCTAGAAAGGACCCTTAATTGACCTTGTGGGGGACCACATTGATTTTCTCCACGTGCATCTTCATTTCTGATAAATTATAAAGCCATTAATTTGCTGAGGAAATGGCAGGGCCAGGCTGCGGCACAGATGTGACCAGAGCCGTCCCAGCCCGGAGTCCACTGCGGAGTGCCAAGAATCCGGGCGAGAGTCAGGAAGCCGGGATTGTTATGGTTAGCCTCACTTTCTCTCGGGAACTGTTTTAGTTGCCGCTGTTTACAGATCTAAAAGGTAATGATGTTTCCAGATAAATAGGCCTTCTTATTTGGGGTAAGTGGCCATTTATTGATCTGCTAACCCACATTTATTGATCTGTTAGCCCCAACCACTGTGGCATTCTCAAAGGGGTCCCTTATAAATCCAGGCAGGCAAAGTGTCTTTGGTTTTGGATAGTTGCTTCAACAAAAGCGACACCCCCTCCCCGTTCTCTCTGCCAAAACTGCCCCTCCCAAGTTTTAGCTGTTATTTTAAAGGAAACGATTAAAAGGAGATAATAACAAGAGAGGAAGCAATAGAGTCAAGGAGCCCCACTGACTAGTACTGCCCTAAAAAGTAAAATGGAAAGCTGACACAAAGGTGTTCAAAATAACGCATGTTAGAGGCTTGCATGTGTCGGGGGGGGGTAATTCGATGTGGACCGCGGAATGTGGACAGAAGAAAGCAGCACAACCACCATTGCAAAGAAGGAAAAAAAGTCTTGTGATAAGGGTTGTGCGGCACATGTTAGGTGCATGTGTCTCCTTAGCAACAAGTGAGCATATGGATAGCACACGGGCCTAGAACCAGGGGAAGGCAGGGCTGTCCTCCCCACCAAGTAGCCGAGAATCTGCAGCTCATTTGTGCATCTTGGTGGGCACTGGCCACTTTGTCAGCGATGATCACCGTAGCCAACCAAGGCCAGGAGCTCCCAGCATTTCCGGGGCTACTTGGCGGGGGCGCCAGACATCCTGGGTGTGAGGCTGCTGTGGGATCGGAAGGGACAGGTCCTTGTTGTTTGTGTTTTTTGTTTTTTTTGGGTTTTTTTGCCTTAACCAATTGCGTCCTACATGCAGGAAGGATTGTCACCCAATCACTTGAAAAAAGCAAAGCTCATGTTCTTTTATACCCGTTACCCCAGCTCCAATATGCTGAAGACGTACTTCTCCGATGTAAAGGTAGGGACTTTTATCATTAGATTTTTTTTTCATTTTCTGTGCATGTGGAAGTGATTTGAACTCTCGGAAGATAACCGAGATGAGTGTGGAATCTGCTTGGGAGTACACCTGTGTGGTAATGGGTTGAATGCACGCGTCCTTTGTCTGAAGGTGTGTCAGCAAATACACCCCTGGTGTATGAAGATGGAACGACCCATATCCCTGGGCCACGTGGGTTTCCAGAGTAGTCTGGCAACCCTGGCTTCTGTCCTCATGGGTTTCAGTAGCTTTCTGAAAGAAAGTTCCAGTGGTAGTGGATGGTTACGCCTTAGAGAATTTTCCCCCCTCTCCACTGCCGCAGGGAACTGTTTCTGTTTTGGTTTCTGTTGGTTTCCCCATATTTGTGCCTATGAAAGCAAACTCTAGCACCTCGTTTTCCCCCTGTCGAAAAGGAGCGTACATTGAAATTCTCTATGCAGTAGCTGCTTAAAAACAAAAGTGATGATTGTCTCTTATTTACAACTTAATTTGTTGTTGATGTGGAGTACACTGAGCATAAGGAGAATGAATAAAGTGACAGATTCAGGACACATTATTCAAATGAGGATATGAAAGCTGTCGGCCTACAGCTGCAGCCTCCCCCATTCTACAGAATACTGGGACCTCCTGGTCTTGCGTGTGTGCATATGCGTGTGTGTGTGTGTGTGTGTGTGTGTGTGCGCGCGTGCATGTGTCTATGTCTGTGTACGGTTTTAAGTAATTGCATCAACTTGATGTTGTGTTAATCATCTGTAACTTTTTAAAACATAGATTGGGTTTTGATGATAATGACATGCACGGTATCATTATCCAAGGAACTCGATAAACATTACATTAGCTGAGATTACTTTATTAGGGTTGGGTGGTTCCCTCCACCCCTCTCTGCCCACCCCCATATGTACAAGTTCTTTCTGCCACGGAGAACTCAGAGGCTGCCAACACACGCCCGCTCTGTACCACTCCCCTCCACGCGTATGTTCTGTGCCCAGAGACCAACTTGCTTCCCGGGCCCGTTTTGCAAGCCAACTCACTTCGGCTTCCTTCGCCGATGTTTCATTTGGCCTTATAGGAAAAGTTCTGTTTCCCCTCCTGCTTGCTTTTGAGCCTTTTCTCGTCCTCCTTCCTCAGCTGTCCGCCCGAATTGGAGGGCGTGTTTTCTCCTCTTTCAGGACCAGCGGTCTGGGCAGGATGGAGCAGGTAGAGAAGGTCAACAATGAAAAGGGCTGGCTGAGATGGCTTCCATGCACAACAGGCTAAGAGACACAGGAGGACTGGAAGAGGCACTGGGCTTTGTAGAGGGGACATCTAGACCTGACCTGTGCAAGGGACTCAATCAGCTCAGCAAGCACTGGGCAGCTTCCAAAGCCTGGTCGAAGCTGTCAAAGTTTGTCTTCCTGGGGATGCTCCTAGTACTTTGGTTCTAAGAGACGAAGCAGAGCTCTTGTGTGCTCACCCACTTACCCACACTCACTCATATGTCCCCATTTCCTCCTCCATTGCTCTTAGCACAGTCATCAGCAATGTGGTGAGAATTAGCGCAGTGGCTTATATTACCTAAACAGCACCTTTCATCCAGAAGGAGGCCAATCTCACAGACCGCACAGCCGGGGCCCACTCACCCACCCCTGAGATGCAGCCACCTGAGAGGAGGAAGCAGCGGCCACCTGACCCGCGCACCCCAGCCCCACAGTAGATGCAGACACCGGAAACATTTGAGTTGTGTGTGCGCCTGCGTGCGGGGGAGGATGCCCGTGGGGGAGGTTATTGATCTGCAGCTTCACAAGTACCATGCAGTGGAAACATTCCCACTCCTTCAGAATGCATCTAGTAGCTCAGCTTTACAAAGAGGTACCTGCTCTGCATAAATAATAATTAATTATCTGGTTGAAGATTTTATTTTTTAAAAGTGTTTGTGTCCAGGTTACGGATTGCATCCGTACCTTCATACTGGAAGAGAAGGCTGTTAAAGGGTATGTGAGTTTGGTGAGATTATAGCTGTCCACCCTAATGGAGAGGAACCTGTTGGACATGCACAATACAAGGAAAATCACTGAAAGTCATGTCTCTTTTACTTTTAGAAGGAGTTACACATTTTAACTTTCCTAATTACGTTTTTTTATTTGAATTTTTCATTTGAATTTCATTTGAATTTTTTTCAAATGAATTTGTATTTCCTGAGCTAATACTGATGAGAGTAGGAAGCCGAACACAGACGAGTGGCGTAGTCCAGGAATGGTGGTCTGGACTTCTAGGAAGCAATGGAAACATTCTGAGATTTTGTTAGTGTCACGCATGCTTCTGAATTTGAATGTTGACCGTGCGTGCCAAGTACACACCTAGGGTACATGTACAGTGCTGCATGTAGTATGTGTGCAGCGAGCTACATGCAGCTCATTTATATCTCTGTTGACCTAGGGAAATACACAAATGTGGATACGTCTTCATAAGGCTGAAAGAGCTATATGTGAACGCACACTTCAAAGCTTTATTTTGGTCAGGATTTAAGAAACCGCTGCAGGACTGAACGGTCCCTAGAAATGAGAAAAGGGACCTTCAGATATTATCAGCCACAAAACCCTGTTTTGGGAATCTTAAAAAAGACATACCCATGTGGGTGTGCACCAAGTGACGCTGGTCCTACTAACACGAGCCTCGCTTTGATTGTGGCCACATTCACGGAGGACAACTCGTAGTTCTAACAAAACATGCTTCTCCAAATCGGAAAGTCGTTTCCCTCCAAATAGTGATCAGAAGTTAGTTTTGCCTGCACATAAACCGAGAGAGATGGCATGGCAGAGAGCATTTCTTTCCAAAGCCGTAGCGGGTGGTGGTGCTGGTGGGGGCTGGTCCCCAGCCAGCTCTGAAGGTGGCGGGGAGGGGAGCTGCCCTCCTGGCATTGTTTTCCAGGAGTGGACACGGGGCTCAGTTCTCCCCCAGAGAACCCACTGGGGCTGGAGGGAGATGCCTTTCAATCACCGAGGAAGGAGGAGATGTGGGGGGGATCATCTACATGAGGCGCTGACACCGTGGCTTCTGCAGTGATGCTGGATCTGAAGGCGAATCCCAGCTCGACTTACTTTACCTCCCAGAGTCAGGAGCTCCATGTTCTCACGGCGAGTCCAACTTAATTCCCTCACGATGCTATTTCACCACACACAAAGCTCGGCTCCTCGGGGCTTCAGATCGCTTGAGCAGGGCAAGTGTGCAAAAGCAAGAGAGCTGCCAGGGGTGGGGTGGACTGCACCGCTTCTCTTGTTCACTCCTGGGTGCTGATTTTAATGTGCAAACTAATAACTCCTGAAGCACTAAGTACAACAGATTCGGTGTCATTTCAGCTTTGAAGAACAGACGCTCACAGCCTTCGAAGCCAGCTGTGTTAAATGATGTATCTCCTCCTCCACCCCTCGAGTCAACCGCTGCCTAGCCAGATTAAGGTGTCAGGTTGATTTGTTTTATACATCTTTTGACCATGCTCATTGAATATTTAGGAAGTTTCTTCAGCCCATATTGAAGCTGAGATGTCCCGTGGGAAGCATTAATCAAAGTCACAGAGACTCGTACACTGTGGAAACACAGGCCCTTTATTGTAGCGATTAGTTTTTGCAGTAACACATTAACACACTACAGAGCTTGCCTTTACAGAACAATTGATTCTTTTCTTGTGAGCCACTACACAACGCGGGAAATTAACTCTTTCAAGTTTAACACTTTTCCTCCCCCGGTGCAAATATCTGGAAAAGAGTTGGCTTGCTTTGCTTTTGCTTTTAGCCAGGAGCGAACACAGTGGATCGCAGGCCCCTTCTGGTGGAGGGGAGCCCTACCCCGCAAGCTGTGGTGCTGGTCACTTGCTTGCCCCATGTTTGGGGCCTCTGTTGTTTCTGGCCATTCTCTCTCTCTGGTATTTCCATTCTCCAACAATACGCTTTAAATCTCCCTTTATGTCCCATTCGTAAATAATGGCAAGTGCACTTACTTTTTTGTCCTCCCCCATTAGGTCATTCATGACCATTCTAGAAAAAAAAATACCCTTCTATTTTTTCCTCTACAGTACTCTCGTCCATATGAGACAATGTCTTGTAACAATACAGAAGCCTAATCTCCATGTCAAAGCAATTTTCATTCCCCAGTGCACAGCCTGCTATCATTTTGTAATGTTTTGTTTCTTATTCTAAAAGAATTAAAAAGGAACAGTAAGCCATCACGGGGGCCTGTAGTCCTTATCTCAGTGTCTGGAAATTTGGACAGTGTATTTTACTGCTGAGATAAAATGGAAAGAACTCCAAGTTCAGCAAATCGTAATGGGTTTAAGTTCTATTGAAATCGGCAACCAGAAGATCAGATAACGGGGGTCCTTCAGTTGTCTTTTTAATCGGGTTCCCCGCGAGGCTGAATAGAGACAGAGCAGGCACATAGAGTGAAAATATAATTCTTGGATAGGTTAAGTACATGTTTGAACTCTTGGAAGCAGAAGCGATTTGCTGATGACTTAATCATTTTCTGGTCAATTATCTGTAAGGGCTCTTGCAACTCCATGGCAATTATGATGCAAGTTGGCCTTTTGGGAGAAACACCAGTCTCCCTGCTTCTGGTTCCTTGTTACTCCCCTTCTCTGCCATAAATTTTCATTCAGTTATTATCTTTGCTAGTATAGAAACAACTTTCTGTGTAGTAATTACGGCCCCGATACACACTTTAGCTGTCATCTTGCGGGAGTCTGGATGTTCTCATGGCCAGTTCGATAAGTGCTCTTTGTTGATTTTTGATGAATGTACGTCTTTTTCTGGGGGCCCAGGGAAGGGATGACAAAAGGCAGGGGGTGTCTGTCAGGCCGCCGAATGTAAAGCTTTGGATTTATTGGTTTTGACTTGGCAAGTTGAGACGCATCTGTGCTTTACACAAACAGAGGACTGTCAATAAGGATGGTATCATTTGCAGCACACCCAGGAAGACATCGCCATTGCAAAGGTCACTGGGAAACCTCGGTAAACAAAGTCTTAATGCCTAACCATGTTATAGTAACTTGGCATTTTGAAAACATGCAATAAAGGCGATGTCTCTGTGGTCTGTGGACTCTTAACTGCGCTTCCCCAGTGGCAGAGGCCTGGAGGGAAGAGGACATGGGTCTTAACCAAGGCTGGCTTGCTGGGGGCAGAAGAACAGGTACCAAGGTCAGAGCAGGACCACAGCAGAAGCTAATGCTATGGGCAAACAGGAAGCGAAGTTAGAGCCAGATGGGCGTGGGTGGGGATCGCCTATGACCAAAAACCCAGCGGGGACGAGATTCCCCCTGTTTTGTCAGAGAGTCATTTTCCTGGGCTGAAGGAGCTGTGATGTAGCGGTGTGAACTCTCATTTTTAAACATGCAGATCACAAAAAACGTAGATCACACTATTGGTACAGTTACGGGGCTCGACGTCTTTTATGCTTGAGAGTGACAACTCTTCCTAGACTCTATAGCTTGGAGAAGCGTGCAGATGCGTTCTGTGCTACTGAAAGATGCAAGTCAGTGTTATTTTTTAAAAGATACTCAGCTCAAGGAATGTCTGACTTAGTATGTGAGTTTTGCATTGGAAATGTGGAGGACCATGATGTGATTTCCATTACTGATCCATTTTGTCATAATTCTCTAGGTATATCCTGCCTCTCCTGCTGCCCTTTTGGTGCAAAGGCTTACGTTTCCAAGTACAGAGGAGAGAGGGACTTTAAAACTGTGTCAAATGTTTAAAAACATTAATGAACAAAATGGTGATATTCTTATTTTTATCAACATTTGAATTTAACAGTTCAACAGATGCATTACCTCTCAGCTCATCAAGTGGTTTAGCAATTTCCGCGAGTTTTACTACATTCAGATGGAGAAGTACGCCCGTCAAGCCATCAACGATGGGGTCACCAGCACAGAAGAGCTGTCCATAACCAGAGACTGCGAGCTGTACAGGGCTCTGAACATGCACTACAATAAAGCAAATGACTTTGAGGTAGGAACTAATCTTCATTTTTTTGGTCATCTCCCTTTTACCTTATAAAAAATTTGATTTTCTTTATAAATGTTTCCCCCTGGGTTTTCATGATGCATTCCGACATAACCACACCAGCAGAGGAACATGTAAAGCAGCACGGTAACCCTTCCCCATCAGAACCAGAGGGAGTGGACCCACTTCTATTTCTGGGCCCATTCCCTGGCTCTTTAGCCCCACTGAGTCACAGAAGTGTGAACTGAAGAGTACACAGAAAAAGGGCAGCAAGGAGCAGATACAGCTTGACTTTTCCTCGAGGGAAGAGGTCCCTGCTCCCGTAGGCCTTTTCCAAACTCAGATTCTGGGGAATCAGTAGAGTTGCTGCTATATGTTACATGCAATGGTAGTTACGAAAGTTGTTTTCTGAAAAAGTATAGAACTGTTGACCAGGAAGTAATCCCATGGTTTCTAATCTGAATCAACTTTCACTTCCTGGACAGCAGAAATGGTAGGAGGATTTACTGAATGTACATCAGAAGAGATCCATCAATATCTTTGGCAAGGTGGTTTTCCTTTTGTTTTTGCGGTTGGGGGAGGAGAGACTCAGGCATTGATTTTGTGTGTGTGGATATTCCCAAGCGTGTGGCCCTGTCTTCTGTGCTCTAGATGGTCTTAGGTGTATCTCCAATATGCACGCTCTAGACACTCAAGAAGCAGCGTGGGCCATTCCCACAGCCAAGGGACTATGCGTGAGCTGTTTCTGTACAGCTACTGCGGTACCTCAGCACACAGTTCTCGGCACTATGCGGTGGGTCTCAATGGGACAATGCTAGAAAATCTCCCAGGACTCACAAAGGCATTTTGCTGAGCCCTGTGCGCTAAGGCAAATATCACTAGAGGTGGCAATGTGGCCAGAGCTCTGTAGACCTAAACCCCCAGTGAGGGAGACAGACAGACTGGGGTAACACAGTTGGTCCATTTTTTTGTGTCTACTTGGCTAGACTCTGTGCCACCCTGAGGGCAGGGCTTTTTTCCCCTGCATTTGCTTTTAAAGGGATCTTCTGTCAATATTCTTGCTATGCTCCTGCAGCTAGATACCTAGGAATACCCAGAAAGTCTTCATAAAAGAGAAGGGCACATTGGTCTGACCCTGGGAATAAAGGGACCCAACCCCTCCCTGCTTTCTCATTTCTTTGTCCCTTCTCCTTAATGTCCTGGGCAGTGCAGGTCCGTGATACCAGTTTATAAAGAGCAGCGTGTGAGCTTAGCACCTGGGTTGATTTTCCTTGAAAACGTGAACGATTATACTGTGAGCTACCTATGTTCCTCTGCAATTCAAGACCAACGTATTTCTGGCGAAACGTGTTGTAGATGAACTTTTTTCTTTTCCTGAACACATTAAAAGGAGAGATTCTTAGAGTGCTGACCCACTATTCTAAAATCGGTATTTTTGAAAGTCTCTGTTGTAACAGAGCCCTGGTTTGTTATGTGACCGGAACACAGGCACATTTCTTCTAAAGCTAGAGAATGTGGCCAAACATTTTAAAGACATCTTGTTAAGAGTTTCATTTCTTTCCCTCCCTTTCTTCTGCTGTGCGCTAGTAAATTATTTACGTCACATTATGACACAAATCTTCACCGGGCAGCACACATCAACCTTCATAAAAGAATTGCCTGCAATTCATCAGCTGATTTCTGCATTTCTGCTGTGTAACGTGCTCAAGGCAGCAAATCCTGAAAGTGCACATTAGGATTTGCAGAGCTGTTTAAACCTTACCTGGTTGGAATTTAATCTCCTACCCTCTGCACAAGGACCAAAATGACATAAACAGGGGACACTGGCATCGAGACGCACCCAACAGACAAGCTGCTTCATTTAGCCTCGTCTAAGTCCTCCTCTAATATGAGTAATATCTGATATTTCTCTCTGTGGATCACAGCCACTTCCAGCCAGGCCACCCCTACTTTATCTGCAGTGTCTATTTTAAGACTGCCTTGCAAGGAGCTCGGGGCCTGGGCTGGAATTTTGTCACTTCACATGTGACTTTAGACAAGTTATTAGCCTGCGCTGGGCCTCATTCCCCCTTTACGGAAACACAGACTCTTTCCAGAAATGTGGCAAGTGGAGTTTTTAATTTAGCAAATTCGTTGTTAGCAACAACAAAAGTCTCAGATAAGGGGGTCCTTTTTTTCTGTGCCGTGGAGCAGGGAGGTCTCTGCTTCAGTGAGATGCTTCCAAACTGCGGTCCTTATCGCTAGCGCTTTCCCAGCGTGCACCGTGGCTGCCGGCCAAAAGTGGACCGGCCACCTTGAGCCAAATACCTCAACTGATAGTGTATATGCAGTGCTTCTCTTTTTCACTAAGGTTTCTTAAGATCGCGTGAAGCAGGCTGTGGGTTAAGAATGAGCAAGCCGAGGGGATGGCAAAGCAGAAACCCTTTTCAAAATCTTCCAAAAGTCCCAAAGTGTGGTAGAAAGAGTGAAGCCATACCTACCTGCTACTGCCCGAGGAGCCAGTCAGTGCCGAGGAATACATTAGCTCACCTGAGAAAGAGTGGGCCGAATAACAGAATGTCTTGTTGATTGCACATTTAAATCTCTTCATCATCTCTTTATAGCAACAATAAAGTGGGGCTAACATCTATTGACCGTTTGCCAGTGTTCCAGCCATTTTCTGAAGTGTTTCACCAATATTAACTTACGTACATGGACAGTAATAATGACACTGACATTAACAGAGTAAGAAACAATCCAGTTTGATTAAAACTTTATCGTTTTGAGATTTATTCTAAATGGACACGGGCAAGCAGAGCCAGGGTTCACGAAGATCTTTTCCTTTGCCAGGAGGGTTTTCTTCCTTCCTTTCTCTTCTCTACCCCTTGGCTCTTCTCAGCTGCCCACTCCATCTGCCTTGGCAACTCTGTCACTGCTCGCCCCTCCCCTCTGGTCCCTGCTGCTGCTGATGGCTCTCCAGGCTGAAGAGGTGGCTGACCCCTGGCCTACGGGAAAATAAAGCAGATGGGGAAGGTTTATCACTGGCAGAGAGGGAGTGGCTTGCGTCCCTCTCTTGTGGACCCTGCATTTCCTGGCTTTCATGAGTCAGAACCTTCTAAGTGACAGGAGAGCTTGTTCTGCCTTTTGTATCAGTTTACACAATTGCCAAGATTCTTGGCACAGCGTCCAGACTTAGGGTGGTGAGAGTTTGAGACGTCCCAGGGGACGTGGAAGAAGAGACATTGAAGGGGGACGGAAAGAAACGGGCAGCACACTTTTGGGCTGTGCTAGAGGGAAAGAAGCTGCCTGCTTGGCACGGGGCGGGGCGCCTGGCCTGGAGCGTGCAGCAGCAGAGGTGTGCCCGGGAGGGGTGTTCAGTTTCGGGCCGCGTCTCTCACTCCTGCCTCTCACAGTTGGTGAGATTGGCAACGATGCATTTGTCTTTCCAGGTGTGATGGTATACATCTCCACGCTAACCAGGGCTTCCAGAAATGTTTGTTTTATTTTTTCTGGAGAGGGGAAGGAGCTTTGGCATTCCTTCTCAGTTTTTAAATCATTCGGATACTTCTGACTTTAGGGGCAGATGAGTTGTTTTTCATTACGTTTTCTTCCCCCTCTGTCTCCCTCCTGACTGAAGCAGAGCAGGGAGGTCAGGGTGGCTGTCAAGTTTCTGAGGCCAGTTTAACAGCTGTGCAACGAACTCAACTCCTATCGCTCACAAAGATTAATTGCACTAAAAAAGCAACCCAAGCCCCCCAAGATCTGACTGCATCCCCCCGGGTACAGCTGAGAAAGGAAAATGATGTGGGGGATCAGTCTGGGTAGAGATGGAGAGGAGACTGTGACGGGCACTTTCATCAGGCACGGGGAGCTCTCTCTCGGTCCCGGGTGCCACGGCGTTGCATCCCACAACCGCCACGGAAAGTCAGGGACCCGAAAGTCCCCTCAGTGCCTAGTCATTTACCTCTGGGCTGTGTCTAAGCTGCCGGAACAACTAATCTCTCTTCCCCTCAGGAGAGGCCTGGATTTGGGTGGAGGGGGAGGTGAGAGGTTTGGAAATAAATGGAATAGAGAACCTGATTCTTCCATCCATGGGCTTGGAAATGTCACTCCCTGAGGTGCCCATGGGAACAACATCCTCAGGGGGAAATGTTCCACGTCAGCATCCAGGTGACACGTGACAGGCAAGGGGGGCCCTCCGCAGACCCCCTCATGTAATCTCTCACTTTCTTCTTGAAGACAGAAAATAAAAAAGCGGCGCCCCTCCCACGGACACCCCGACTGCATATATCCGCACACCCTTACCCCATACATCCTCTCCGTCGTGCCCCCCTTCCCAACCCGCTCCCGCCTGCCACCAAACCCACGTTTAAGAAGATTTAATATATTTGGAAGTCTTTCATTCACATTGTCATCTCTTTAAAGAAGAATGAGGACAGGTGGATTTAGGAAGCGCTTTCCTCTCCTCCAAACAGATACTTAAATATGAGTGATCGCTCGGCAAGCTGGCGCGTGAGCACAGACCGCTTGCCGCTCTTGCTGCCTCTTGGCTGGGCCCTCGAAGCCCGTGCACGACGCACTCTTGGTGGGTGGTGAGGAGGAAGAGAAACACTTAGCATTTCTTCCCTTGCCAGTCTCACCATTGACAAGCCAAATTGATCTTTTAAGCGACTAAATGAATGTTCCCTAAATATAAGCGCACACGTGGCTGTCTGGGAGCGTATTCCTTCCGCAGAGTGATGGCCTGAGATGGAGGGAGAGCACAGGACCCGCAGCAGGCAGGAAGTAGGGCTGGAGGGTGGGGGGCTGGGGGTGGCACCCCGAGGGAGCGCGGGGCTCCATTCTGCGCCACCGCCCTTTGAGAGCCAAGGTGTTCATCAGTATAATGAAGCGCCCGTTGATTTATCGTCTATTTGGTAATGTCAATGCATTTTTAGCTCCCCGTGTCTTTTTTGTCATTGGGTTATATTCAAGCACAGTAAGAGCAACTTTAAACCCTTCTTACTCAACAGCTGTATTAGTTATAG